TATTGTATCAAGTTATGAAATAAGGTGATGTATTGGAGGTTATTGAAACCAGATTAAACTGAATAAACTGAGCACGGTACTTAAAGAATAAAGAAATCATTGATGGTTATCAAAAGTGAAATAAAGATACACATATGTAGCGTAAAGGCAAAGACAGTAGGTTGGTATTTACTTAAATATTTGATATATATTTGATACTTGATACCAATATCATTATAAAATAGTAAATTGATATTTATGGTTGATACATTGTATTTTATCTTATATTAAGGACAATATGATGCATTAGTGCATAAATATGAGGTTTTGTGATTATTAAGCTATCTTTTGAATGTTAATAATTTAAAATTTTGTTTTTAAAATTAATAAACCATATTATTTTTAAAGGTAATCGATTTGCACCATAAAAGTTGAAAGTTTAGATTAAAAAAAAAAATCTGATACAAACAATAACATGTATTATAGTTTGTATAAATAATAAAAATGAAATATACAGACATTTTTTTAAAGAATAAAAAAAATGTAAAATCAAAATGTTTTGCGAGTAAAAAAAAATGATTCATCCTATGGGCTATGGCAATAATTGATTTCAATTTACATTTTTCTGAAAACAATATACATAGGCTTCAAGTGTTTTAACATATTTTTTTGTGTCATGTGTTCCACAATTTTGTCAATTTTTCAAATTTGTGTTCTATTCTATAAGCCGGATTGAATTTTATACATTACATTAATGCTATTGAACTAGGATGGGTTTTTTTTTTTTTAGTATCTGTGTTAGGTTAAATAAATAAAACAAAGTAATTTAAGCGAGTAAGATTAATTATTTGATGGTGAAATAAGGTTTTTGATATGATATATTGAGTTATCTTTTTAATTAGTTGTTAAATTATATAATGGCTGATTTTATGTATTTTGATTAAATATCGAAGAATTTGTTTGTTTTTTTTCAAGATAAATTAATAATTTTTTATGTCGATTGGTTAATAAAAAATTATTGATCAACGATGTTTAGATAGTAATATTATTTGGTTAATATATAGAATAAAACATGATATTTCAATATATCAAAATTATTATAGCTTTTTATGTAAAATATTGTAACCATAAATATTACCTACCTATTCGACTAATGGATTATTTATGTATTTCAGTGATGAGTAAATTATATTTGTAACTTCTAAAAATAAGTATAAGTAGGTAGATAGATATTATATTACCAACGAGCCAACGAAAAGAAAGATCAATATATTTTTATAACACAATTTTTATTATTTGTAAATCGAAAATAATAGTAAAATAAAATATCTATATGTTCTGTATAAAAGTTATTAATTTCTGTTAACACGATTAATAACAATTTTTGAATAATTAATTACATTATGTGCAGCATAAAAAAAAAAAAAAAACAAAAAAAAACCGATAAACAAAATAAAAATTTAGCATATTACAGTAGTAATTATTAATACCTATATATCAATATATAAAATAATCAAGATTAGGATTATTGTATGTACAATGAAAAATTGAAAAATATACAAAAAATTGTCTGATTAAGCATTTTTTTGTTGAATTATGAAATAATTTAAACAATTAATGTTACTAAATTTTCACGCATAAAATATTAAATTTAAACAACAAACTCGTGTCATATTATCGATTATTAAATGAACTTCAACAACTATAGTCCACAGCATGTTTAAGGTAAAAATCTTAAATTTTATTCAATTTAACTTATTGTATAAATTTATTAATAGTAAACTTATGAAATATAAAATAGTGATTACAGATCTTCATTAGATAAATACCATTTTATACTCGTTTTTTAAAATGAATTCTCAAAAACTTCAATTATTCAATCGTATGCATTTTAATTAAAATTTGAAAACATATATAAAAAAAAAATTTTCTATTCAATCCAATTTAAGCTAAATTGTAGACATAACTATATTTGGAAAAAAAAATGTTAATAAATAGAAATTTTAGCTTTGGATACGATTTAAATATTATAACGTACAACTTGTTTTACTTGATTTATTTTAATTTTTGAACGAACACATTATCTCTCAATCAAAATAATTTATTTTTATATTTCCCGCGATAATTTTGTTAAGTGTAGTGTTATAATGGTATATTATTTTCAATGTTTATTTATTTTGGATAAATACATTTTTACTAATATATTTTTCAAAGGAACTTTTGAGGAAATAAAAAAAAATAAAATAAACGTTGGTTACAGCTAAATAATTGGAGCGAATACAAATGATACACTGCTGCCTGCTGGGCGTTTGTATCGTGACCCAAGGCAGTGTTATATTTATTATTATAAATTTAAAACTGATATGAAGTTCAAAATTTATTGTATAAACGTGTTTATGGCAAAATAAATAAAAAAAGTCACTTTGTTGTATAGTAGATTTCGAGTGTACCTCGTTATTGAGTAGGTAACTATAATGGATGTGTTAAATTTGAATTCAATGATATATTATTGCTTTGGGATAACGATTGTGAATGGAAATGACGTGTCAGTTTTTATTTCTAAGGATATTTTGTATTTTATGATTTATTTATATCACTATTTGTAATTTAATAGTCTATATTCTATTACTAGTTCGAGTGGTTTAACTAATTTTGCCAAGAATATCGTTTACTATATTATAATATTTTATTGTTTAGTTAATTGAACATCGTCTTACTGTAGCATGATGTACACGTAAATCGTGGTATAATTAGTCTTAATATTTTGGAAGTATAACTATCTATAAAAAATAATAGTTGTAGGTAGGTTATGGTAAAAAGTTGCAAGTCTCTATAGTTAATGTTTATGAATTAAACCATAATCGCTCGATAAATAGAAAATAGTTATTTCTCATTTAAATATTTAATTTTGTCAAATTTTAATCTTCGAAGGTCTTTAAAAAAACTATGCATTTATTTTATTTTTTTTATTGTGATGAACTTATGACTTATGTGAAACCTTGTTAGTATATTTATTTTTTTAAGATTTAGCTATTAAAATAAAATATTTTATCAATGTTTAACCACATATTAATTTGTAAAATATTTTCACGGCTTTGTAAAAATTTAAATTTTAAATTCTTATAAAAACAGTCAAAAACCAGTTAGGTACGAGTATAAATATTTCCGTAATTGTTTGTTTTCAATTATTTTAAAAAGTACTATGAATTTTTTTAAAGTATCGAATTTGTTATCAGGAATAACCAAATAACCATCAAAGTTTAAAGTGATAGCATTTTTACTGCTTCAAAACGCACACACACACTTTGATGTAAAACCAATACATTCATCACTCAGCTCAGAATATAAAATGGAACTTACTAATATTAATTAACCTATATGCTAGACTGATAATGTTAGAACGAGTTGTGGTAAAACTAGAATATATTATAAATAATTTAAGTTAAAAATTAAAATAAATATAATTTATTCATTTTTATTTTTAAATAATTATGATTGCCAGATTGTGGTCTTAATACGTAATTTTACTGGTAAAGATGATAAAGTCCGAATGGATTACGTTTCATAGCTTTTGAATGGATTGAAGTTAGCTTAGTGGTTTTCTTAAGATTAATGTTATAATACAATGTTTGGCATTTTATTGATAGAGGATTATTATAATTATTAATTTAAAAATATTTCTAAAAGATATTTAAAAAAATTATTATGGTTTATTTCAGAATTGATAATTATATAATGATATACATTTTTTATATAATTATATAAATTAACATATCATGTAAAATTGACATAATTTTATGAAAAATTGTGGGAAATATATTTTAAAGTATTAAACTAACGTTTTTACAATTATTAGTGTATTTAGAACGTAAATGTAGTGTATACGTGTATTTAATATGAACCAAAAATTAATCATTGATTGTTATTATGCTTTAACATATTATGGTATTTCTGTTAGAATTAAATGCTGATAAATTGGAGTGATGAAACTATTATATACGTTTTTACAACTTGAATAGAAAAAATTCTATTTAAATATCATTAAGACCGCATTAAAATATTATAGAGATAAATGTCTTGGCAATTTTTAAGGCTTGACTTAAAACGATAGTGATGAAAATAGTCTTTCGACAGCAAACAATTATGTCATAAATAATATCGTAATATAATAATATTAATATTGTAGATTAATAATGAAACATGCGCTGGAAATTTTTTTATTTCACAATTGATTAGGATCATAATAATATAAATCTATGTAAATATGAAGAAAGTAATAAAAGGTTGTGATCAAATTGTAGAAATAAAATAATAACGATATTTGCAGTGATCGACTGAATGTCTGCTTGCATATTTATTTTTCCAAACAATTTAAATAGTAGCTAACGACATTCCCTACTAATTAATTAGAAGATTGAACATGTTGAATTTTAGATAACATTATAGCTTTGATTGCAGTTTATTTTTTATTTCAAGACATTGAATATATTGAAAATTGTTATGATCATGCTACTCAAGTCTATTCAGTTATTATTGTAAAAATAAAATTACCTACTATAAAATCAAACAAATCTTATTGAGTGATGAATTGTAAAAAAAAAAACAAAAAAAAAACTGTGTTGAAGAATATTATTCAGATAAATTATATTTAAAAAAAAATTATTGTTCAATATCTTATACAATTTAAATCACTTATGTTTAATATAACATTTTATTTGTGTTTAATTATTTCGATACGTCATCTTATATTAAATGCTGTCGTGTATTTATTTTATCGTAACGAAATTATTTCTTTTACGAACCACTAGACCTACATTTATTAATAAAATGTTTGAAGAAAATAAATATGATAATATTATCAATTATCATACATTTCAAGTGTGAAATCAAAGCACTTTGAAAATTTTTTTTCTATGTTAAAGTTATTATTTTAATATATCACCATTAATTTTCAATAAAATGTGTCTGACAAATAATTAAAAATGTTTGAACCTTAAAAGTCATTATGTAAATTTACTCACCGTTACTACAGCCAATGGAATTTCAGTCATTAGGAAAACCGTCACAACGACAATGAGCATCAATGTTGTGCAATTAGAATCTCTTAGACGTTTGCATTCGTTCTTTCTGTTCTCTTTGAATAATTTGTCTCTTTTTAATTGCGCATCTCTCATAGCTCTGAAACAGTAATGATAAACAGTATTATTGCATGATAGATAATTACAGAACATATACCTCATAATATTGAATAAAATAAACCATCTTATTTTGAAATATTTTTAAATTAAAATAGCATAAAGGAAGGGTATAATTATTATTTTTCATAAATACATTTTACAAATTTTATAAAAATAGGAATAGAGTGTTTTGACATTTTTGTTTATGAAAAGGTAACTTAGCAGGTGAATTAACTGTACTAACTAATATTGCATAAATTACTCATGAAAAAATAATAAATATTAAATTCAAATATATTTTCATTTCATTAACAAATTATTATTCAAAATAAAAATTTATGAAGAAGTTATGTATTTATTGAAACCAAGAGAATATTTAAAGCATATATAAACTTTGTTTACTTTTTGATCAGTGTTAAATTTTAAAATTAATTATTGGTTTAAAATAAAATTTAAAATATAAATAATAAAAATGTATCCTAAAGTAGATTTCTCTCGAAAGGACTATTATTATAAAGGTAGACCACAGGTGGTCTGATTTTATAAATGTGTGCTATTACATTACATTAGAAAGAGATTATAATCGTATTAAGAACAAAATTCTGAGTTGGGCTTATAGTTCAATTGGTATAGTGTTTGCGTAGTATTTGTAATTTATATTGCCTGTATAACATATTATCTGCAGTTTATATTGACAAACGAAAAATAACAGCCATAACTCATAAATACTATTTATATTGACAGTAATATGATATAACATTACAGTTATATTAAATAATGATAACTATAAATGTCAATTTAAAGAGAAATGTGAGAAATTCATTAAATAATAATGTTTTATTTTTTATTTTTATTACAATTATCTTTTTCTATAAAAAATATTTTCGGATAGAAAAAATATTGTTCTATGTAACGTATTCAAAAATTATAAATTTGACTAAACTACTAAAAGATTATTTTATGATAATGGAAAATCACGGAAGATCAAGTTTTTCGATGAAATAAAGACTAGTACTTATAATTTTAAAGATAATAATATGTTATTTAAATTCTATCGAATATTTTAATGCGAATATTTTTTATTACTTTTAAATTTAATAACACTATACGTTATGATGATCGAAATTAAATGATTTAACTTCTTTTATTTTAACGTTTACTTTTACATTATAATATTTTTGATAAAACTTTTATTTAAGCATTATGTATTATATATCACGATATCCCACAATGAAATACTTTTGCGTATTAAAGTATATTGTTTTAATAATCATAATCATAATATTATTAGTTTATTCAATATATTTTATATATTGTTCTTGTTAAAAGTCAATTTTATCCACTAATGATTATTTTATTTGTATAAATATATTATAATTTATAGTGAATAATGTATAATACTTTTGCGATTGTTGATAATTTTAATTCAATAAAAATACAAAAAGCAGACTTTCATCACAATGATTACTTATACAATTATTATTGTTGAAGGGTATTGGGTAGTTATTGTTTTATTAAATTCAATAGATATTATTGTATTAAAATTCTTTAAAATATTATATGAATTCTGATCGAAATAATTTCAGTGGTTAATTTATTTTTATTTTTGACGTATTTAAGTGTACATTTATAGAATAATAATTTTCAGATAAAATCTTTTTATTGTAGCAGGGGTTGAAGTAAGCAGTTTAACACAAGAAAAAAAAAATAATCCATAACTCCTATAGTTATAATGAACAATCTATTTGGTAAAAATTCATTTTAAGTAATTTCTATTTTATTTTAATTGAAAAAAAAAAGTACAAGCGTATATTACAGTTTTATAAATGATAAACATATTACAATAAAAGTTCAAAAATGTAATGTTGATAACGGTTGTATAATTAATATTTTATTAATGAATAAAATTGTTAAAATGTAATCGTTGTTGTAGATTATTATCCATATACTGCCTTGGTGAAAAACAAGTATTTGGTACTTCGTATACACAATAATATGATTAAAGTCAGAGAAGTGATTATCCCATTTCCCTTTTTAAAATGTTCCATTCGCTATAGACTGTTATTGATATATATATAAGATATGACTGGTCCCGATAGTATAAAGTATTAGCTATACTCGAAGACAGTGGTTCTCAACCTTTTTTTTTTACTAAACCTTTTGTTATTTTATAAAATCCCGGAGTTTTTTATATATTTTAATATGTTTGAATGATTTATATTTTTAATCATTTTGTGGCATATCAAGATCAGTTAGTAGTTAAGAACTACTACTTTAATTTTTTTAAAAAAATGATGCAATGATTTGATAAAATAACAAATGTATCAATAAGTATTAAAATTTTAGATTATATAACTTTCTGTATTATTTTGATGCTAAATTGTTCCAAAACGTCAACCATATAATTTTCAGACAAATTTATATAATATATAATCTATCTATACATAACAATTAGAATAAAATAACAATGAAATGAATTGATAAAATTATATTAAATATTTTAAAACTTAGATTTTTAGATTTTAGATGAAAAGAAATCTAAATTCCTTTCAAATAATTACGAATAATAGTAAAACCATAAATGTTTACTATATCTGCTGTTCAACTTCATAAGCTTATTTTATGTACAAACTAAAATATACTTTTACAAAATAATATATTCAATACATATTCATCGATTATTTTTCCTTTATGTTTCTGATATAGGCACCAAATATTTTAAACACAAGTAGGAAAAAACTTGAATCAATATAGACAAAGAAATTAAGATTTTTTTCAGGAAGTGACTGGTTCGTCAAATATTTCACAATTTAAAATTGAACAAATATTATTCTAACTCGTTATAGAGAAATGTTAAATTTATTAAAAAAAAAAATAAATAAATTTATAACTCAAGTTTTTGAAAGCAATAAAAATATTAACCAAAGAATAACAAAATCATCAAGATTAAAATCTATATAGATTATAATATTACAATCTAATAAACGTAATATTCAAACACATCCTACTTTAACCTATTAAGTAGAAACCTGGTACTGAACAAATAACAAAAAATGAAGCAAATAGTACAATTTAATGTATGTAACCATTATCGATCTGATAACTACTATTAAAATACCGAAGGTACCGAAAAGTCGAAGAAAGATAACAATAAACTAACTGACCAATTATTTAAATGAAGTACTGCTGTGAACAGCACTTACTAGTTGTCGGAAAAATTAAAAGTCTTACAACTAATAAGCAAATCAAGTCACGGAAATTATCCGGTAACATGGTAGATACATAGCTTCAATTGTACTGATGATTTTTAGATGAACTATTCATAACAATTTCCATATCGTTCAGTGAACTTACTGTTATGGCTAACGGAAACACGTTTTCTTCAGCGCCATGACACGCGGCTTCGTGTTACTATCATCTTGACTAGCCAATTATAAAAGACCTTTCTCAAGACCAACCTACTGTAAGACATCTGGACAACGTGCTCGAACCCCCTCTGTCGACGCACAAAACCGTCATATAGTACTTGCCGTTCGATAACATGATACCCGTCATTTAACTGAGTGGTCACTATCGTGAATCTCCTTCACTCTACCTATTATACGATACATTCCGTACGAGTTAGTGCACGCCCCATCGACGCTACAATACGGGACCATCGTCCGCACAAGACCACTTAAAATGATTCAACCGGCTAGTATAGCGACTTCATTCTTTTCATATAATATATATATATATATATTTATTTAACTATACAATTAATAACGATAATTACCAGTTAGCACAATGGTAATACGTCTTATCTTATATAAATCAGAATAGTTAAAACATTCGAACTGTTTTAGTGAATCGATAGGTATTTATTTATTTTTTTTGTGATATAGGATACCTTTATTTCTTTGATAAAGAAAGAATGAAAATTTTATTGTAATATTATTAACATAATTTATCAGTAAATAAAATAATTTTATTCGAGACTAGCACTAAAAATTTAGTGATTTATTGGTGTATACTTATCGGTTATTGCAACTATTTTTCTTTACGTGGCGTAATTTAAAAAAAAAAAAATTGAATTAAAAATGATTAAAACTATAATAAAAATTAGGAATAAAATTCAAAATTAGAAAATTATTAACTAGGAGAAAAATGTTCAGTCATACAATTTAAAATGCCTATACATGGATTATCGAGCTTTTGACGCCACATGAATTCAACTAAATAATTTTTTAGATGTTGATGTTGACAAGTCGTAGTGTCGTGTACCTTTTGTTTCTTGTTGCACCATTTAGAGGATCTTCACAACCTTTCAAAATTCTGTATGAAAGCACCAGTTTAAAGATTGACAACATTTTAAGTGTGGTTAATGGTTAAATGGTTAAAATCAGCATTCTGTAGTTCATTTATTTTATAACCACGACAAAAATCAAAAATTATAAATAGTTGTACCTAGGTATTTTAAATTGCATGGCTGAACATTTCCCTCCTCTAGTTAATTATTAATTTTGAATTTTGAATTTTATTTCTAATTTTTATAATAGTTTTAATAATTTAAAATAATTTTTTTTTTTAATTATGCCGCTAAAAGGAAGGTAGTCGTGATAACCAATAATAGTATCGATTTATTGATTTTTTAAAACATTTATTATATTTATCATATTCTATGCATATTTAAACTTGAAAAGTCCATCAGAAAATATTTGTAATATAAATTAATACGATTAAAATAAAATACAGTTGCATGTTGTTACTTGCGTCCCATAAGATAGTTGATAAGAATTCGTAATATTACAATAGGTAAGTTGTGTCCCAAATGCTCGGACGCAACTTACTTATGATATTTATTGACAGGTTATTTGCATCCCAAACGATAATTTTGGTTAGGTATCAACAATCTTGCAATTATATTCTAAATAATTATATCTCTAAAGATTCGCATTCCTCTTCTCAAATATGGATTGAGTGTTTCACTAGTGTTCGGCGAACTATTCCCTTACGTGAATCATTTTATTCGAAATTTAATTCTTCATTTTATCACTCACACCTTAATATTTTTTTGTTCATCGAAATACTAAAATAATTTCAAATTAATGCATGAATTCTAATGAACAAAAAAAAAAAAAAAATTATTGTAAGTATAGTGACCAAAAAAATAAAATTAAATTAAATTTATTGAAACTCGAATTGCCAAACTTAACAATAAATAAATTAACAGTACGTTAATTAGGTTTAACTAATGTATGTCCTAATTATTTACCTAATATTAATTTATAACAACATTTACAGATTTTTTTGGTTCAATTTTTTTAAAATTATATGTCAATACATATGTCAAAAATATACTTGTGTTTTATTTTCGTATTATCTACATATCGTTTTGAAATTAGTGATTTTGTGAAATATTTCAATTTTTTTTTATAATTATTAAATATAAAAATTTACGTACTTATATCTATATGTTTTTCTTATGTAGATATGCCTAACTATAAAATTATATCGTTACGAAATTATAATTCGAGACGCGATTAACACATCAATATATACGACAAATAAGTTGTATCCAAACTGTTTGAACGCAAGTTACCTACTATTATCAATTTGGGACGCAAGTAGTATGCACCATAAAATACAATTTTAAAAATTACTTGACAAAATCATTTTATTATATTCAATCTTTTTTTGTATTTTATTTAACAGTATTTGACTCAATATAAAATTGTGCATAAATTATAAGATTTCAACTTAAATTTATGTTAAATATCTTTAAAAAGCGTTAAGGATGTGTATCAAAAGAATAACTAGCTACTGTTTTACAATATGCCTAAATTTATAACGTGCTCACAAAATTTAAAAAAAAAATTTAGTCCCATCTACTTATTTTTTCAAAACAATTAGGTACTTGATATATTTTTTAAATATCCAAAAATGTGATCATATTTTTATTAAATATAAAACTGGAGGATATTTTTTTATTTATCTTGAAGTATAAATTTAAATTTTAGTTTTTATTAATGAAAATTTTTAATCTTATGCATGTATAAATATAATTTTAATCTTAAAATAAAGTTTGAAAGCTGTACATATTTTGAATACTGGACTATAAAATTTCTGATTAAATAAAAATAAAACAAGTCTGTTGTGGTTATTACCACAATAATTATTAAACGATGTAACAAGTTCCTGGTCGGATTGAGGTAGTTGTAAAAAGATAGTTAGTTAACTAGCAGAACACTTATATTTTGATGTATGAGCAAGTAAGATTATTTTGTTAATATTTTAAGCAATAAATCATGTACAAATAGCTAATTGCTATTATTTATAAGTTAGTAATGAGAATGACCAGGTGCGGTGATGTGGTCGTAACTAAGTTTACGACGAGCAATAGTCTTATAAAAATGATGAATAATCAGTCTAGTACTGCGACTATCTTCTGCCTTAATACTAAATGCTCTACTCGTATTTATACAAGTTCTAGTAATGATGGGTGGGGAAGTAATGTTATTAATAATATGTCGATTAAGGAAATAATATGTAATGTTAAGTTGTTAATATAAAATATACTGTTTAGTAGATATCAGAAAAAAACATGATATGTTTTTACTCTTTAACCTCTTTATTCTTGGGAATGCATAATCTACTTACACATATACCCTAATATGCTAATTAACTATATTTAATTAATTGAAATAATGTCTTAAATATTATATTAACTGTATATTTGGTTTACTACAAATGTATTAAGAATTATAAAGAAGTTTTAGATTATATCCTGTTTAATAGATAATATAATATGTATATTGTATATAAATTAAGTTAAAGAAATCAATTAGTGTTAATCAAAAAATATATCTATAAATTATTATATTTTAATGTAGAATGAAATACTTTTTATCATCCTAAAACTTAATTCTAGAAAAAAGAAGTATTAATTAATTAGGTCAATATAATTTAATATGGTATCTAAAATGAAAAAATGTATACAAAAATAGTATTTATATTAACTGTAGTTAATACAATATAACTTATAAGTAATTGATAGTAACGAATTTAACGAATAACTACCCCAAGTTGTATTTTTTTTTGATTTGTTATTTAATTATTTTTTTTTAAATATCTAACGTTAGAGATCTATACAATAATTTTTTGAGCCATTGTACAAGATTGGTCAGTGGTGTCGAAGAGGAAATATTTACAATGAGAGAATTGGAATTACTATGAATAAGATTATTAAAATTATTTTATTGAATTTTCAGTGGTTTGTTTTTTTAAATGAAGTTGAAGAAGATAAGGTTTGTATTCTTGTAAAAAAGTAAATACATTTTTTATTTTAGTAGATCAATGATATTTTAAATTTGTTTCAATATTAACTTTACCTGATTTTATTTTTGTGAATCTATTATGGCTATAACATTTAAACAAGAGAACAGACTTTTCATATAATATAATATCGTGTAAGTTATAATACTTTAACAATTTTAAAATATTTAAAAATATGGAAAAAATACATCGAGTAGGTACTGATATAAAGAAGCTTTTTCAACGATGAATAAATATTAAACAAAATAATCTAATTTAAATTATAAAAATAAATTAAATATTATTATAATATAGATGAATGGAATAAAATTAATTCGTAATGATTTAAAAATATTTAATGCATTAGATGATCTATTTATAGTTCATAAATTGTATATTTTATTATTGCTCATCATTATGAATTTACAAAATTTTTTTGTATACTGTTACTACTTAAACAAAAAAAAAAAAAAACAACTGTAATTACCAATTAAAAAAAATAATGTAATTTAATTATCTCTATTTGGTTTCTGGAATTTTAATTCTTTACACTATCTAAACTAAATTAATATTTAAGATTTTTAGAAATTTATAATTAAAAGTGAGATCCTTTTAATGACTAAAAATCGTTTCATTAAAATTTTAAAATGTACATAGGTAAACGGTTCTCTTATTATACTTGGTTTTATTACGAGCCAATGCTTTTAGGTAGCAACTAACGTTAATCGTTCAGTACATATATTTTGTTAAACTAATTAATAAAATATAATAATAATGCGACGTCAGGCTTAGGATAAACCCATTACTAACACTTGGATTGATTGTATTAATATATTTTGAATCACTTACCTGAACAGTAAAAGATTTAACACGACGAGAGATATGCATGGGCCAGTGTGTACGAAGATTACACGGAACGCATAGTACAGTGTGAAGTATACGTCTAGTGTGACCCAATGTTCAACCCAATATGCGTGCTTCATCTTAAATTAAAAAAAAACAAAAACAAAAAAAAAACATGTATATATATTAGTGAGCTTAGCTAATTTGTAATAATATATTCAATATGACGATGGACAGTGTACATGTTATTTTAAATATACAAATAATTGTATATTTGTTTTGTAATTTTAAGTTCCAGTTGACGTCAAATAATGTAATAGACAAGGATATACCTACCGATGGGTGGTGGTACAAATAGAATTTACCAAATAACTACAATCAAGATGTATAGTGTCTATTTATCTCTTTTAGTAGAAATAAATATGAATTTAAAAATAACCACTTGGATGAAATAAAAAAAATCAAACTTATACAAAAAAAGCATTATCAATAATTTATATTGATAAGTACACGTTTGATAAAATGAAATTAAACTAATAATTTTAGTTTAAAATACTGTCAGCAGTCTTTATTTGTAATTAGAAATTTTACTTTAACTTACATTTCAACGAATAGCTAGGTAAATTAATTATTTTAATAGATATAATTAAAGATTTATTCAATATATACATTACGACATGAAATTTTTTTACAATATAGTAAATACATTTTAAAAAGGTATTAAAATAATAATAAATATTTAATTTTTAAAATTATTAGTCTCAAAGCTACTATATAACAAAAATGTCAAAATATTATTTTTCATAATGTTTTTATAAGAATAAATGTAAAAATATACAGTAACAAGTTTTAAATTTTATAAATATAAACTTTAGCTACTTTAATAAAATTCCTCACTTTAAAGATTGAACGTCTTATTAATAAAATTGAATCAGTCGTCTGGTCTGTAAGTACAATATTGTGTTCACGGTAAGTAGCGGAAACGATGGAATATATACGAATTTTTTTTTTAACTCTGATAAAACGTTTTTATTTGGTAGCTAAAGCTATTTAACATTTTTTAAAAGATATATATTTTTTAAAACCTTAGATACACGATGCATGATATTATTACTTTTATTAAATTGTTTATACGCAATATGATGTAATATAATATGAGCTAAACCTCTGTTTTGTAATATTATGTAGCTGTAAAGCTGTAACATTGTTCAAATTCAGTGAAGTATAGTCCAATAGATGGATTATTATGATCATTATCGTATGGTTAGGTTAAGGTATTTCAGATGAATATTATTAAGCCCAAATAACAGACACGAGTAGCTATAATATAATATAATATTTGTATGTATAATATTTACGATTGGGACGTTGAAAAAATGACACAAAAGAAATTTCCAACAAATTATGGGTTGGTTTCAAATAAACACGTTTTGGTTCGAACAGTCTAAATATCACCAAAATATAATAATTCTTGTGATGTTGTGGAAAATTTACAAGTCACGTCTGGTTTTTATCGTCATTAGAGAAAAATATTCGATAGGTGTTTTGATGAAGTTATCAAACCATTGTATTCTTAGAATGTCTGAAAAATAATCCGTAGAAAAATGTCTGTCGTATTTGTTGAGTATGAATTATTATTGTGAAGTAGACCAACGTTCAAAAAGTTTTGGAGTTTCAAGTTAGGATTTTCAACATGAAATAATTACGTTTTTAAAATTAAACACCATTTGGAATTTGAGCAAAAATCGCTTTTACTATTCTTGTAGTATTCTTAGAATATTCTTGTTAATATACTGTGTTACATTTGTATGTATGTACTAGAGTGGTATAATTATATACAGTTGATATTTACTGTTGTATGACACGTGCAACTTTTGGGAAACACGCATGACTTAACATTTTAATTCATAAATTAAAAAGATGTATCTATATAAATACATGTTTGCTTCTTGTTTTTGTACAGAGGAAGCGAATTTAAATTTTAGGATATTAAAAGACATTAAAATATAAGCAAGTGTAGGATATATTTACTTATAGCTTATTTTAATAACAATTACTCATATTTATACCAACATATCTTCGTTTTAAAGTTTTTTAACTTTGTTCTATAGTTAATAATTGCTTGTGGAAAATATCTAACATTCAGTTATAATGGCGTTGTGTACTTAATGTTAATAAACTATTAAATTTAAGAAAAATATGCAAAAACCATATTTGTCGTTGAAAAAGAAAACATGTTAAGTGTTTGAACAGTTTTGACATCGAGTTTATAATTCATGATAATATGTTATAAGTTTATGCACAAGTACTTTTTATCCGAGAGTTAAGTTGATGGCAACTGAATTTAATCAAACAAAGTTTACAATAAACTTGATAAACATTCCAGAAATTGGTGAGATAGTTGCTTTACATGACCAAGATATATTATTATAACGCCTCCATAACTCAACCATCGAGTAACTCTCTACTAAATTAAAATTAAAGTACATTCCCTCCCCCAACACACAAACCCACATACACGCGTGTGTGTAAATTCATACAATTTACTACGAAAATTAAATACTATAAGAAGCACAACGGCCTTATCAAAAATATTCTTCAATAAATAATTAAGGTTTAAATTTTAAATCAATAATAAACATTTTGTTGTAAAAATTATTTCACAGTTCTAAACGTACTTTTTAGTAAGATTTGTATTCACAAAATAACTGTAAAAAGATTTTTAATGGATTACAAATACTCTTATGAGGTGTAATCTATCATCTTAATAATTTTTTACGATAATAAAAAATTCAATTAATAATAGCATTTCAAAATACATAAGATGTTTATTATTTTCTATAAAATAAGTTACGTGAGAAAGAGTTTAAAAAATGTTTTTGTTATAATTAAATATTCAAGTAGAATATTTAAGTAAGATTGATATTTAAATAAGATGACATAATATTTGATAAAATGACACATCTTAGAAGTTATGAGAGAGATATAATAAACTGCTATAACATAATATACAATATACATTTATTAATAACTAAAAAATTTAAAATTTAATCAATAGAAGTTTGAATATTCAAGAAATAAAATTAGTTCCTAGGTTAATTAATAAAAATAAGATTTTTTTGAGTGTAACTAAAAAAATTGATTATAGCGGTTTGAGTAACCTTTTACATACATAGAGTTTTGTCATTTTAAATTTCAAAATAAATATGATAAATTATATTTCATCTGTAGACAAATGATTTCATATATATTTTTTTTACACATTTAAAATCTTAAAAAAATTCATTCGTCACATCACCGAAAAGGGAAAGTTTTTACTGTGTTTTTGTGAAAGCTAGGGTGTCGAAACAAATACGTGAAAAAATGCTGTCGAGAAAACTGCATGATTATAACATGTGGTTGACTTAAACATACTCAAAACTCTTGCTTTAAAACAAAACTTTTTCGATTAATTTTAAAATAGCTTTTATTATTGAAGAATTCCCATTAGTGAGTGATTTAAAATATGTTAGATGGTGTTAATTTATTATTACTTATGAGTTATGACATTTTACTATTTGTTTTTAGGAAATATTGTCTTTAAATGTCTGATAGTTATTTACAACCATGTTAGTTACTTGAGTTAATACATTATATTGTCGATTTAATTGTTTTGTAAAATAAATATTTGAGTTGATCAAGAGTATTTAATGATTATTTTAATTTAAGAGAATAGTGAATATGAATTTGTTGGATGCAAACTGAATAGATGCTGATAATCTGTTATTTAAACACTTTTAAAAACTTGTATCCTTTTGTTAAGCTTATAGATTTTATTGGATATTTCTTCAAGTTTTACTTAGAATTTAATATAACTTTCTTGAGACTTTGTATACTAAATCCTCGCTAAATAACAGATATTAAAAGTTTTGAAAACTCGGGTATTGGGACTTAAAAACTATGGTAAAATATATTTCAAGTAATCGCCTATCGCATGAGCTGCCTATAAAAATTATTTTTTTTTTTTAATATTTTAGCATAATAATTCCATTTTTAAAATTTGTATACTCTCAACTAAAGGATGGTTCCATTTAAACTATAAAAGCTCTGTTTTTTAATTTGATGTCGTACACCTACTGAAAAAAAAGGTTAGCAGAAAACTGTAATTATTTATAATAAACATTTAGCTGGGCTCACATACACTCATTTCAATTGATTATGCCATATATATGTTTTTTTTTTCATACAATAGTAGAATTTTTGAATGCATTAATACTGGAAAGATTTACACAACAGTCATAAATAAAAGGACAAATTATGCGTAAGGGTGTATCTCACAAGCAGACCATTTCAGTATTTGTTTAAACAACGATGAATGCATATAAATAGTATTGTTTTTTTCTCATCAAAATTAGAGAGGAATAATAATAATAATAAAAATAATAATATATTTTGATTCATACGTGGTAAGTATATCGTATAGTAAATTTTTTTGTTTTTAAATTTTTAAGATAAGAATTTTTTTTTTAAATTAAAAATTCATGTTATTAAATTGTAATGGGATAGTTTTTTTTTTTTTTGAAAAAGTTCATTAGTAGTTGATTAATAATTTATGAGTAAATAAATATATTAATTTTTTTGCTATATTTGTAGGTACAATTTAAGATAATTTATACAAAATTTTAATCACAGTGTTTTATTTTTAATTATAACACAAAAAGTAACAAAGATGCAAACTAACAATTTTTTGTTTCTTTTTCAGTGAGAAATACTCAAACATTGTTATGTTGAGATTAATAACTGCAAAACTATATTTTTTGACACGAATAGCATGAGTGTAACTAACTTTTTTCAAATATTATTTGTGTTATACTTCAAAATATTGAAAAACATTTTTGGCAGAATAATTTGTACTTCGAATTGCTGAATATACCTTTAGATAAATGTAACTTAGAAAAAAGCACGGATTAATGCATATTTTATTTCAAAACTTTTTTTGATACATTAAACTAATGTATGTACACTAAACTAATGTTAATTATCTGCTCAAATAAAAGAGTAATAAAATAAAATAAAAATTCGAAACTGAAACATTTCATAAATCAGAAGTCTATGGTCTATGTTTGTATAACCATTAACCAAAATAATTTTTTCATAAAAA